TGGCTGTAAAAGTTGATTCAATAGTAGATGAGGAAATAAGAATTATTGCTTATTTTTTGATTGTTTAATTGATTTGTAAAAGATGATTTGTAAAAGTTGATTTGTTTAATTGATGTAAACATAATTCTTATTTGTGCTTGTTTAATTGATTGAAATGTAATGGTTGATTTTGTTGATTTCAATCTGTATTATGTTAAAGGCAAAAATGACTATCGCAATGCGAAATGAAAATCGCAATGAGAGAATCGCAACACGAAATGAAAATCGCAACGTGAAACTAAATTCGCGTTGCGATTTTCATTTCGCTTTGCGATTCCCTCGTTGCGATTTTCATTTCGCATTGCGATTCTTTCGTTGCGATTTTCATTTCGCATTGCGATTCTCTCGTTACGATTTTCATTTTGCATTGCGATAGTCATTTCCGTGTTGCGATAGACATTAAGATGATTACGAACGTCATTTCCGTGTTGCGATAGTCAAATGAATGCCTAATAAGTGATAACAACTGAACAGATCATAGCAATTTTCAAACTAAAGTTACTAATACATGCCTAACTGAAAATGTTAAAAGTTCACACATAAAATCCACATAATACAACGTTTGCATTTAAAAATTACCTAAGTTAACAGTCCCAAAAGGTGAAGCCGGTTGTGATTGGGATTTTAAAGATGATTGCGATTTTGATTGCCTTTTGCTTGACACCATATGAGCTTTGGATTTTGATGAGGATCCATATTTTGGTAGAGGAAAAGATGATTGTGATGGCACTGGTGATCCACATGTCAACCTTGTATGACCACTTTCTTTGCACCGACTACATGTCGATCTCTTCTTCTCTTCACCCTTAGACGGTATACGATCATGACTTGTTGGTCGGCCAAGTAGCCTTCTGTCCATGGCTGGTGGCAAAATTGTTTGTAAGTCATCTGGTATGTCCCACTCAGAAGGATGTAGAATAGGGTAGACAATCTCGCCATAAGTCTGTCGATATACTTCTGTAGTGTAGCAATCCATAGCGTATGCGCTTGAATCATCTTGGTTTAGATGAAAAGAAACTTTTATAACATGGCCACACGGATAACCAGATGTTTACCATTTCATACAACTACACGTCTTTGCATTTAGATCGACAAGCCCATTTAAGTTATTATCCAGTACTTCAAACAAAGTGTTTGAACATGGTTCAACTCTCCATGACGTTGACTTCACAACACGTTTCGTTATCTTTTTTTCTGTCCATGGTGTAACACGATGTTCCAATGTTCCTGTAAATTTAAATAAATAATACTTAGTAAAATATATGATAAGTTACGAATTTAAAGAAATAATACATGCATGGTTTCTTTTCTTGTAGTACCACTGTTGAATAGAGGCTCGAAAAAACTCCATTAACATAGTAATGGGTAATTTCCGGGAATGAAGACTTAGAGTGTTGATTGATTCTGCACTATTAGACGTCATGAAATCATATCTTGCTCCAAGTTGATGTACTCTTGACCATCTTTCAAACCCGACATCTTCTAGTGTTTGAGCACACTGAGGCAAAACACGTCTTAAACAGTTTATATGCTTATTAAAATCCACTTCCCGATAAGCTTTTACAGTCTTCCAGTATGTCCATTTGTGATTTTTTATACCAGCAGACCTTGATTTTAGATTTCTATACAAATGAACACCACAAAGTCCATGAAAAGCATCTGGGAAACACCTTCTAACAGCGTTGTCAATTGAGTTTGCCCTATCAGATATGATTGTCAGATTGCTAATAGGACCTATGCAATCCCTAAGATGCCCCATAAACCATGTCCATGAATCAGAGGTTTCAGATTTTCCAACCCCGTAAGCTATTGGCAGTATCCCATTGTTAGCATCCATAGCTACTGCTAATAAGTTTACTCCAAGGTATCGACCTTTTAAATGTGCTCCGTCAACTATAATAACTGGGCGCATGCAATTAATAAACGAACGAATCTACAAAATCATATACATAAGAAATATAATCATTTAAATGTGAAATACATGTAACTAACAAAAATGAGTCAACAAAATTATATTGATTTACTAACCGCAGCACCAATGGCGATAAACAGCAACTCAAAGCGTCCATCTCTATCTGTTTTGATATGAGTTACCGACCCAGGATTTTTCAGCTTTAAATTGTGACAATAAGCCGACAGTTGGGCAAACGATTCTTCTGGTGACCCCCTCAACAATTCTAAGGCATAACATTTGGCTCTCCAAGCTTGAGAATATGAGATACTAATCTTGAACCGAGCATTCATGTCAGTCATAATTTCATGTCCCCGATATACCCTACCATTCAAAAACATTAACTCAGCCAGAAAACCAACCAACACCTTTTTGTTTGCCTGTCTATGGTGAGAAAAAACTTGGGTTCTTGAACATGTATGTTTATCAATAAAAGTCATAACTTGAAACATTTCTCAATCTTTTATCCTCTTTACAATCATACGCCACATACAGTTTTTGTCAATCATACACCTTGTTTCGAAACGATCTTTGCTTGATTTGTTAACTTTTAGTTGATAGCCATCTTCCACACATTTCATATACAAAGCTATCTTCAAGTCTTCCTTTGTATCAAAACAATCATCTTTCTTGATACGAATAATTTTTGTGTGACAATCAACTGCTATCTTTACCAACTCTTCTTCCGGTATCTGAAGTAATTCTGGCATATTCCAGTTATACTCCCGTGGCATTTTCTTCGGGGACTTTTCTTTGGGGATTTCTTCTTCTTCTTCTTCTTCTTCAGTGTTATATGAATTACAGAATGGATGTTCAACATGTTCATTTACAGTCGTAACTTCTTCCTCATTATCATCAACAACATCTTCCTCGGCAACGGCTGTTTCATCATCAAAATTCGGGTATTGACCAATATCAAAATCATTACACGCAGGGTATGTTTCTTCTTCTGAAAAATCATCAAAATCCGAGTATTGACCAAGATCAAAGTCCGGGTATTGACCAAGATCAAATTTCGAATACTGACTAGTACTCACAATTTTTTTTGTTGGCTCATCATCGTCTAACTGGTCAATACGAAAACCGGAATTTGGTGCTGAAAGTTGATTGGGATTTGAATTAGGGAAAGGTTGTGGGTTTTGAGATTGTGTTTGTATTGGAAATGTGGTGAAACAATATTTGCTTGGTGATGAAATTGTGGTGGAACCATTAAATTTTGAGCACCATAAACTGGGGTTGAAAAACTTAGTTGATTACTACCCGCTACTGACCCAACTTCACTACTTCTAGGTTCAACAACATACAATGTAACATCATCACTTGAAACACTAATGTAAGCAATGAATCGTTCAACATCTTCATTGTCGGTTAACAAATAAACTTTACCATTTTTCTGATAAGATAACCTAAATCCACTTAGGGGCTCTAAATTCAATTTATTTGCAACACGTAACATTAGAGTTTCATAAGTTAACTTTTTTAAAGACAGTTTTAGTTGAAGATTCATGGGTAAAGGCATATATTGTAAAACACCATGAACATTCTCCCATGACCCTCCAAAACACAAATCTATCCAAACATGATCAACATTAGATGATTTCATTATTGTAAATTAATTTACTAAACAAACGAGCTGCGAAACTAAAACCTGTTGCCGGATGGGGAAGGATGTCGTTGGATATAGGAACGAATGTCGCCGGAGAGAGTGATAGATGGAGATGAAATGAGTTGCGATTTAGGGATTTAGGTTATGAGTTGTTGCTGCTGCGTATTTATATACCCAAAACATTTGTGTTGCGAAATTAAAACCTGTTGCGAATTCAGAAATCGAGTTGCGAATTTGAAATTCAGTATTGCGATAGTCAGAATCTCGTTGCGATTTACTAAATCGCAATGCGATTACGTAAATCGAAGTGCGAATTAGGAAGATCGCAATGTGATTTACGTAATCGCATTGCGATTTACGTATTCGCATTGCGAATTAGGAAAATCGCAACGCAAAATTTGGGAAATCGCAATGCGATAGTCAGAATCGCGTTGCGAATCTGGAAACTGATTTGCGATACCGGAGATCGCGTTGCGAATTATCGATCGCATTGCGATTTAGTTGGTCATTTTGACAAATCCAAAAAAAGTTGATTAAAATCGTATATTATAAGGCATTTTTGGTCACTGAGGTTATTTTCTCTAAATATTATTTTTCTCGATTTTAGCCATCTTCTTCAAAAAAAAAAAAGAGAATATTCTTTTACATTATTTACTTGGACTCTCAGATATCACAAAAAGTCTCATGCACGATATTCACAATTCTTCATTCAATCACAACCAGTATTCTTCTCGATGTTAACCATCAACAAACATAATACTCGAATGTTAACAACCTTTGATAAAAGTATATATTTCTTTTATCATATAAATAAATACTTGATTATCTTTTTATAAATAAACGATTTTCAGTCGAAAATAAAGCTAAAATAACTAAAAACCTGCGAAAACTGGCTAATTAATTCAGTTTGACCTTTTGGTTACGATTCGGAGGGGCCAAAGCCGTCAGCGTCACCAGAAAGTTCACAATAAAGAAATAATAAGGAATCTCCGTTTTCCCAGTTTTGCCCTTCCAAAATACAAATAGTTTTATATCAATGTGACTTCCATTTTCCTCGCTTAACAGGCTCGTCCAGCATATTCCTTTCCTATCTCGATCAAATCAAAATCTCATTTCTTTTTCACATCCAAAAAAATTTAAGGAAAGAGAAAATTTGAAAAGAACCCTAACGTCCCTTCTCTGTAATTTGAATATCTTGATCACTACGCGCATGGTTTTTTCCTCTTAATTTCAGGTACTTTTTGTTTGCATTTTTTTAATTTGTATTCACGGATATGTTGTTGATTTCCTTGGCTTCCAATTATTTGAACTTAAGATTTGTAGGTTTTGATTCTTTTCATCAAAAGGTGCTTGTATTTATTGATGATTTTCTTAAATGGGTCATCATTTTCTTTTTCTTTGTAGGTGCATTATTTCGAATTGGGTGGTAAATTTGACCACCCAAATTGCTCAGTTCAGGGTTAAGGTTGCTGAGTTGGGCATTTAGCTGAAGTCAAAAGTATGTCAAATAAATGGTTCTTCTTCGTGGATTTAGATGGAGGGTCTCCGTATGCTTTTCCAATGGATACTTTTGTTTCGAGTGGTTTGGGAGCTCATTTGTTTTCGCAGTTTAGTTCATTTGTTGACAGCTCTTTGTACCATTCTAAACAATTGTATGGGCCTGGTAGTCTTGCATTTCGAGAAGCTTTTAATTGCATGTCGAAGTTTACAGGGGGCGTTCTGTTTTGGTTCTCTACCGTGTCAACTTCGAAGTTGAGTAGGGACATATCATCTGGTAATCAACGTAGTTTGAAATCTGGGAGTTGCAAGTCTTCATCTTTGGTTAAGCACATTGCTTCTTGTAAGAATAACATTGCTGGATTTTGCTTTGCTTCTGATTCAAGAGGCATTTCTGTCGCCCCACTTGTTATCAGTGAAATTTCGAGCTATGCAATGAGAAACTTCTTTGGAGAAGCAGAAGCTTTCCAGCACATTCCTTTATTGTCATTAGCTGCTGCTGTGATACCGCCATTAGATAACTTGTAAGGTTTTTTATCCCACAAATTACATTGTCTTTTACCTTTCTGCGTTGTCTTTGTCTGTTAACTTTGTTTCTCACTGATTAAGCTATTTATTTAATGTGATCAGATCTTCGAAGGTACTAGCTGTTCCCCTTGATAACACAGAAGTTCAAATGCCAGAATGCATGGACCGAAGGCCTTGTGAAGTTGGTCAAGGATGTGGCAGTCTATCATTTCTAGATTTGAATCGGAGACGACATGCTGTTGAACCCAGGACTGGGATTGAGTTCCCAACAATATTGGATAACATATTTGATACATGGAATAATTCCAGTTTAGCTCCCGAGGTAAAACATTGGGGACATTGCTGTATCAATCCTCTGCAATATGCTTTTTATCTATTTTCTATGCAATAACTTGAGTAATGTCTCTATGCTTATAGGTGCTTGTAGGTACTGGCTCCAGAACCATGAAGATAATCAAAATTAAGTCTTTGAAAGTGTATGCATTTGGCTTTTGTACGTACTTGTGGATTTTGCTGCATCGCTCCTTCCTTGTGTTATTAATGATGTGCTTTTCCATGTGCTTCAACAACTTATGCTAGATTTTTTGTTTCCCTCCATAGATATTCATCCGTACTCTGTTTGCCAGAAATTGGGTGCAAAGTATGCTTCTATTCCAGTGGGTAAACTAAACAAAAACAATGATTTTTATCAGGATCTTCTTAGGTATTTAAGATTTTCATTCTGAACTGATGGTAAAATATATATTTTTATAAGGACTTTGAACATTCATAAGTTGTGTGTTCGACTTCAAAGTCATGAGTTGGGACAGATTTTAGGCTCGGTCCTATATTCTTGTTCCCTTTGTTTTTGCAGACTATGTATTTTCTTTTTCTATTATATTATGAATCTTTTCTTATATGCAGGGAGGATATTGGTATGACCGTTAGGCTAGTGGTAAACTGCAATGGGATGAAAGTCGATACAGTTAGAGAGTAAGTTCTTTTTCCCCATTTCCTGCACACTTTAAGATTTTGCAAACTTGGTTGTCCCTTTCCATGCCCCTTTAAATGACTTCAATCGTGTATGTTGCAGTGCTTTTGAAAAATCTCTTCGTGCTCGTTTAGTAAAGGTAAGCGATTAAAATCAGATGATTTATTTCCTTACCCCATCTTTCTCGTTTTATTTTACTTTCTAGATCTGCTAGACTTCTAACAAATTTATCAACTTATACCAGACAAATCCCAACACGGATTATCGTTGCCTCAGTACATTCGCTTCCTACTTCACTCAAGATATTCCATTACCTGTGGTATATCTGCTTCATCCTTCATCTGTCTTTTTTCTATTTGATCTAATGTAGAAGCAAAATCAACTTAACTCTGTCAGATATTGCAGGGAACAATAATCGACTTTCAAAGGACAGCTGATGGACAACTAGTAACCAAAAGTAAGTTTTATTTCTTGTTCTGCTTATCCCTTTTTCGACAATGACAACAACTTTAGCAAGACAATCATCTTAGGTTGTTTGTGGCATGTTAAATGAGTTAGACAAATGACCCAACTATTTAGAAAATCGGTATTTTGTTTCCAAAAATATATTGTACGTAGTATACCGGTCTTATAGTGAAAGAATTATTTTTGCAGTCAGAGGTAACCAGATTGGAGCTGTCCACAGCAAGGATTTATGCAGTAAGTAAAAGCCCTTTGTCCTGGCGGCCGGCATTCCTTTACACCTTCAAGTGTGTTGACTCTAATATTTCGTTGTATGCCAGGGGCTTTCTTGACATGTACATCGGAGATTTCCCAGTGTCCGAGCAAACAAAAGAGGATATTGGCCGAAACGTTGCGAGCATCATTAGGAGATGTTGAAGTGGCTTGTTTTCCATCACCATTTTCTCAGCTTTTAAATGAGCAAAATAGCTACGGGCACAAGGAAATTGAGTATTTCAGGGATGTTATACTATGTACTTTAAGAGAGGGGTTGGCTGATGAACAAAAAAAAAGGGAAGAATCAGGAAAAGTCAATGCAAAACATTGCAATGGTTCTTGTTAGGATAGTTCTAAACACATGTTCTTTGTAGATTTGGGATAATCGTCAGTTGAAATAGATGCCCCCTTGCACTATATATTGTTGAAACAATATATTATATATATTTGTGGGAATGTTCCACTTATGTAAAAATATTTTTGTAATTTTTTACGATTATTGTTTAAAAATTTAAAAGTAAACTATATCAAATATCATTCAACTTTCGACGTTGAAGAAAAATTAGTAAATGTGTTGAGAAGATTTGAATAAGAGATCTCTAAATAGAAAAGCCCAAACACTTAACTACTTCATTAACTTCAAATCTTATTATAATGTTAATCAAAATAATATATATATATATATATATATATATATATATGTTAAATTACAGTTAAGATTAATTTAATTTATTTAATGATATAATATTTATAATATTATTAGTCGTTTTAGTATGACATTCAAATTGACAATCGTCATCCACGTAATCTGTAATTATTGAGTTAACGGTCATCCACATAATCTGTCATTGAGTTCACGGTCTAGCGATATAATTAAAATGAAAATAAAAGTTCAATGTTTCCATTGAAGCAATTGAATGTTGAATAATATGAATGATATATCACCTAAAGTTAAATGATATATGATATAGTTTATTGTAATTTAATTGTTATATTTCATACTTATTCACTTATATCATATCTACTAAATTTGAATAAATAAATTTTTTTTTAATATTTTTATTCAATATGCAAGAAAATGAGAAAATTAGTCTTTAGTACTATTTTTTATGGAATTATAAATCAATATAAGAGTAAAAATGTACTATTTGATCTTCTAAAAAAATATGATTCAATTTGATTTTAAAAAAGATTTATTTGAAAAGTGAACTTAAAAGCTAAGATATATTATGAAGGGATTTCATCTACTTAACTTGCATTCTTCAATGAATTTGAATTTCCATCTCCATGGATTCAATTGCATAGTCAATGTGTAGTTGGTCAAATTTCCCTCGAACCATAACAAGCAATATATATATATATATACACCATGGGAAGAATGTAATGTATTGTTTTAAGCTGAAATTTTGCAGGTAAAAAGATGAGGGGTGGAGCTATGAGCAAGGGGGAACCCCTCATTACTCTAAACACAAATCACATTCTTATGTAATCCATGTTTAGTGTGCCTAAATACGGGTATGCCTTCTTCCCCGCACTTAGACTCGACCTTTAAAATCACATTTTGGCTCATTCCATCGTCAATACCCTATGCTTAGAATTGGTTTTAGATATTGAATTGTTTTGGGAACGATTGTCTTCATGGGATCTGTTGTAGCATGGTTGCCTCTTCTTCTAGTGTATATAGTCGCTGTTGAAGGCCATGATTTTAACTACAGGGAAGCTCTCTCAAAGTCACTCATTTTCTTGGAAGCACAAAGATCAGGGAAACTACCTCCCAATAATAGACTAACCTGGAGAGGAGACTCTGGTCTCGATGATGGCAAAGAAGCAAATGTACCTTCCCCCCCCCCTATTTCTTCTCTGCATGCGTATTGGTTTTGATTATTAGGTGTTTGATTTTATGTTTGAATGAATACAGGAGGACCTTGTGGGAGGATATTAGATGCAGGAGACAATGTGAAGTATGGGTTGCCAATGGCATTCACCGTCACCACCTTGGCATGGTCCGCCATTGCTTTCAAATCCGAGCTAAAATCTGCTGGTGAGTTGGAAAATGTTCATGCTGCCATTCGTTGGGGCACTGATTATTTCCTGAAAGCCGCTGCTAAACATGACAGATTGTACGTGCAGGTAAATTATTATAGAATATGCCGATTTTATTTATGTTTGATTGCTTAAGTCTAAACTGATCCTCAAATATTCAAAACGTTCTAATTGAATCCTCGAGGTACTACTGCATTGTTTCAACAATGTTTGATGATTTGTTTCCATGTTGTTGGGGAAAAAAGGTTGGTGACCCTGAAAAAGATCATCAATGTTGGGTAAGACCTGAGAATATGAAGGGTCCAAGGCCTGTTCTGCAAATCAATAGCGACAACCCTGGAACAGAGATTGCAGGTGAAACTTCAGCCGCAATGGCTGCTTCTTCGATGGTGTTTCGACGCACTGATGTTCCCTATGCACGTCGTCTCCTTAACAAAGCCAAACTGGTACCTATGTATATGCATTTTCGTTCATTACCATTTCACATTTCCTGTTAAACTGCAAATTCTATGGAATTAATATCATTTTCCTTCTCGGCAGCTTTTCAAATTCGCTGACGAACACAAGAAAACTTTCGACGGAGAATGCCCCTTCTATTGCTCCTTCTCTGGCTTCCATGTAAATCTCCCGATCGGTACTCAATTCCATGTATATATGTATATATATATATATACCTCCATAACCATAACTTCAACATGCAGGATGAGCTGTCTTGGGCGGCAGCATGGCTTTACACAGCAACCCATAGTGACACGTATTTAAAGTATATCACAGAAGAAACAGTTCCTGCAGTTGTGGACGAGTTCAACTGGGACCTCAAATTTGCTGGAGTCCAAGTCCTCCTTTCTAAGGTCTCTTAAACCCTAAACATTATTTACAAATCTTCCATTTAAACTTGAATATCTCACCTATATATATATTCTGCAATTATGCAGTCTTTCTTTGAAGGTACCCATGAGTTCCATACGTTCAAGGAACATGCTGATAGTTATATTTGTGCAGCACTTCCCGAAAGTCCTTATCGTAGAATTCCCATGACTCCAGGTCTCTAATGGCTACCCCTATTATATATGTTTTGTGCTAATGAAGATGATATATATATATTGGAGAACTGATTTGATTTGATGGAATATCAGGTGGTTTGATTCATTTGAGAGATGGAGCCAACCTTCAGTATGTTACTGGAGCTTCTTTCTTGTTCAGTATCTATGGCGATTTGCTTAAGAAATTCAACCAAAAGATCGATTGTGGAGGCAAACCTTTTGAATCCACGCACGTGTTGGCTTTCGCTAAGCAGCAGGTGAATGAATTCCCAAATTGCTTTAAATTTGTTATTATAATCTCAACTTAAAAAACCGATTTGGCCAACTCAAATTAGAATTTGACTCGAACTGATTTCATAAAAAAGTCAACAATCTGAATATTTTTAACTCGGTCCTAAAATGAACAAAACCAGAAATGATCAAACCCATGACTCAGCCTCGAAATTACTTGAATAAGTAACCTAAAGTTACATGTAGTTGAGCATCTAACAAAACAAAAAGCTTGAAACAAACAACCTAAAATTATGAATCCAGAGTAATCTGAGTTTAAAACAATTTAAACTTGAAATTACTTAAATTGTAAATTATTCCAAAATTTTGCAGATGGACTACATCTTAGGGCAAAACCCACAAGGAAGATCATACATGGTCGGGTTCGGTAAGAATCCACCAACACAAGCGCACCATCGGGGTGCCTCGGTGCCATTATCGGAAGCTAAAATGGACGTTGACTGCGGCATGAGCTTCACTAGGTGGTTCAATAAAAATGCACCCAATCCTAATGAGTTAACCGGCGCCATCCTTGGTGGACCGGACATGCAAGATAAGTTCAGTGATTTACGTTGGACATCCGTCTACACTGAGCCATGCACTTACGTTAACTCTCTAGCAGTCGGGGCCCTGGCCAAGCTTACTCGCCCTCATAATAAGTAATAGTATTTTGGGATAAAACAAATTTTAATCACTAAGTTTGACCACATTTTAATTTGTTCCTTTTTCTTCTCATTAATCCTTGATCTTAGTAATTTTTTTTTTCATTTTTAATCACTTCGTGACATAAAATTTTAAATTATGTCACATGAAGCTCTGAGAGTCTCCTATTATTTGTTTTATGTTTAGTTGTGTACGAGATTAATCCAAATTTTTATTTAAATTTGTTTATATTTGTAAATGGGTCAATTCAAGCCTATTTAGATTGGTAAAAAATATATCTTATTTTTAGTTATTTTTGACTATTTGATTTACTTTTATTTTTATTCATATCCAAATAAATACTTATCTCAGATAAATTAATCTATGTTTCAAGCTTATTTAAATTCATTTAGATAGTAGAGAAATTGATTGTATTAAAGGTAAAAAATCTTTAAAATTTATATAATTTATATATTTTTGTCAATGATCTAATTTTATATCTCCTTAAATCTTAAATTTCACATCTTAAATTTTTTAATAACTACTTAAGTTATATTTTTTTCAAAATATGTATATTCTTTAAATATGTAGGTGTCCCCTACCTTCACTTCCCCATTAATTATAACTATTAATTATCATATTTGAATCAATAAATATGCATTTAATACTTAAAATTTCATTTAAATTAAGGTATTCTGGATAAGCACAAAGTTATTATTTTTTTTTTTTAACAATACCTACAATGTACCTATCAACCACCGAATAACATTTTGATATTTCTTCTCCTTTTGTTTAATTATCCATTGAATTTATTTAACAAAAACAGTTGAAATATTTAATGATAAAGTTTTAATTTTGGGAAATTTTAGATTTAAGTTTTTATACGTAAATATAATTTTTTAGTTTAAATATATTTTAATTAAGTTGCACCATTTGTTATATTTACAATAAAGAATCGTTGTAAAAAATAATTAATTGAATTTAACGAGTAATTTAAGGGTATTATTAAGTTGTTAATGAGTTGATTAGATGACATAAATCACAGTTTTTTTTATAAATAAAATGAATCTCAAAGTTGTTTTGGATATGGTTACCGTTCACTGGCAATAATATTTTTTATTAAGAAGATAAACTTAGCCTTAAATTGTAGGTTTAAGAAGATAAGCTTAGCTTTAAATTGTAGGCTTAAGAAGATAAGCTTAGCTTTAATTTGTAGGCTTAAGAATATAAACTTAGCTTTAAATTGTAGGATTTAGGGGATTGATTTTTTATCAAAGATTGTTTTATATAATTAATTAATACTTAATCTAAATTAATTGATAATTGTATAAAAATTATACATTATATTTTGTCACTTAGAAAAGGAAATTATTTTAAAAGGAAATTGCAGTATACAATAAATTGGTCAAATGCCAATGGATCCATAAAATCA